TTTTGAGCATTTAGCATTGTTTAAAGAATAATAAGTGTAAAAACAATATTGATATTAATTGCGTTAGTCGCCAAATTCGGTTGATCATTCAATGAATAAAATATTCCCCTTACCATACGTCATCGGAGTTATTATTAGTATGTTATCTGGTATCTCTTCCTTTGGAAGAACCTTTAAATAGTATTAAAATCGTATTGGTGGATCTTTTGTAGTTAAACACTTCCGTGATTTCATCAGTGTAATATGATTTTATTTGAAAAGAAAACTTTTTTGGGAAGACATATTCAAAGGGAGGTATATCCGTTACAGTGTAAGTTTGATTTTTCCTTCGTCACGTCGCGTCAGTTCATATCTTACTTCTGTGCCAACGAATGCACCCTCTAGCTTACTTTTGAGAAATTTATTTTGAGGTTACTGTTGAAGCTGGAATTTCTTGACATGGGGGATGTCAGTTTCTTAAATAGGTGACATACGTAATTTTGATCACCACAGTCCATATTACAATAATCAGCAATAACATTGCGTACTCCTTTATGCATGCTCAAGCCCCCTCAGCTCCTGGACTACAAGGCCTGGCCTTTGTGTCAGTGGAATTTGACAAGCGAAGTTTGCGTACACCACCAAGAACCACGGCTAGGTGTTGACTATTTGACTAAAGCAACCAATCAGTTCTCACTGATCAAATAAAACTTACTAACTATATTAAGTAGTAATAAAAATATACCGCTTTTAAATTACTATCTAGATAAATAAATGTATATGTAACTTGGTCTTATGTGATTGTTGGATGTAACAGCCGCTCATACACTAGACAGAATTGTCACGTATGGAAATGTATAAGCGGTCTTTCGGCCTTGACGGTTTTATTCATATTTACAGTTCTGATTATGTAAATACTTAGCGGCTACTATTACAATTAACGTTATTAGTAATCTACAATAGTACAGTTTCTAAATTTAAACTATTTACATTAGTCAGTTCTTTTGGTCTTAACAAACTTATATATAGTTAAATATAGTTACTACCCAAGTTTGTGGAGGTATAATATCGCTTTAAACACGGAGCTATGTCTCTATTGTAATGATACCGGTATTGTTTGCGTATTCTTTCGATCCTTTGGTCCAGCATAAGATAGCGACCAGAAATCATAACGTAGCCAAAATAAAGTGTCTCCTAAAACTAATAATGTTTAATGGTAGCTCAACGTTATTATCTGAAGCAACATTGATTGAAACCCAGATTTGTGTATGTTAAAAATAGTATTTATATGTTACTATAACTTTTACAGTTAAAGATATTTAACAAGGGATTGCGACGTTGTATTCCGCGTTGGATGGTTACTACATTTAGCCATGTAAAACAGGTTAGTTAAACCTTCAACCCTAACAGAACTGAGCGATAAATAATTAATTGTAATTAAGAAACTGTAAATATTGTACATTACTAATAACGTTGATGTAAATAGTGGCCGCTAAGAATGTACATGGTAAGAACAGCATATAGGAATACAACTGAAAAGACCAAAAGGCTGCTTCATACATTTCCAGACTTGAATTTGGCTTAAGTAAAATTTGTCTAGTAATGTATGAGCGACTGTTACATCTACACTCTATCTATTCTATCTATATATTAATTACGTAAGCCGATTCTTTGCGTCAAAATTGTGGTGAGAGACTGGGAAATCGTAGAACGATTGTGGCATCTGTTGTGGCTGCCTAGAAATAATCGGACGTTTGTTTCTCCTTTGAAAATGTATTGATAATTATAATTAAAAAATAAATGATTCAGGATTTAATGGAAAACTTTTGCTTTGTTTTAATTTCAAAACATATGTTCAAGATTTATTCAATTTTTTTATATTTTATTTTACCAATTTTAATTTTAGATTAATTTATTGTGGTGTTTAATCAATTATTGTATAAAGGGATAAACCTCAACGGCCACTCTTGGAAATCAACCTGGGAATAAAGATGAAATAGGTTCGTTCAGGACAGGCAATATATTTGTTCATTAATCATCAAGTAAGTACTATGACAAGTTCCAATGGGCGGAAACACATAATTTTTTAGAGGAGATTTTAACCAGGTACTCCAAAAAAGGTTCAAATAATATAGCCCAGCATGTACGGTTTTAAAGGAAGCATCCATATATAACAGTAAAACCTAGAGGTAGTTTCCGTTTCTTAAAACCAACCAAAAATATGCATATCGAAGATTCTGATGAAAAGTAATTAATTGTTTTTTAACTGGGTAATGGAAACCTAACCAGTCGCAAAATAGTTAGGAATCAGCCGTTGAATAGACCCCTTTTTGATAGAATATTTAAAATCAATCGCACCTTTAGGAGGAATACCACCACATAATCTTACACTAGGCTAATAGTAGTTTTTATGTTGATCAGAAACAAATCTAGCGATACGTTTGGTCAATGATATGCTTTTACTTTACACTAATTTTGTTAAACCTTTCCCAAAGGAGCATAAACGTAGAAATAATAACTTCGTAGGGATGCTAATTTAGCGGTTTTGACCAAGAACTAAGCTTATCTCAACACACCTTTATTTGCCATTTCATTTTTGACGAAGACGATTTCCAATCTTTCAATTATCATTATTATCATTATCATCAAACACAAGACCAAAGCTACCTTAGTAAACCAATATTTATTCACAAACATGTTTGCTGCCTTTAGTAGTAGAGTTAAACCTCTGGAGTGATATAAATTATTTATTAAAAATAACGTCAACAAAAGCAAAGAAAGACTAATAACAAACTGTTTCTCAATGAGCTGCAGACAAGCCAAATTTTCCTGGCTTTTGTAGCAAGTTGTTTATAATAAATTGTTGTAAGATTGTATGATTTTTAAAGAAATAAAATAAATCTCTTAAACCGGTGACAAGTTGAAGGGGAGATACAACTAGCCGCAGGTACAACTAGACGTAGGTACAAGTGGGCGTAGGTACAACTAGTCGTAGGTACAAGTAGTCGTAGGTACAAGTAGTCGTAGGTACAAGTAGTCGTAGGTACAAGTAGTCGTAGGTACAAGTAGACGCAGATGTATGAGGTACAAGTAGACGGTGACGTTCCCGACTAGTTGTACCTGTAGATTTTTAAGAGGTACAACTAGACGTAGAGACAACTAGACGTAGAGACAACTAGACGTCCGCACCATCGTCAAGTTGTCTCTACAGCTTTGGACGGGGTACAACTAGACGCCTGTCACCAAAATGCAGCAGGTACAACTAGACGCCGGTACAAGTAGACATCGCCCCAAATTTAAAACACACAAAAAATGGCAGATATACCGCTAACAAGGTATTTGACTTAAGAGATGTCCTGTATAAATTCCTTACAAGATAGGTTTGATGCAAATAGCCCTACTTCTTGATCACTTTGTTGTGTTGGTTAACAAATACACATATATAACAATAAAGCTACAAAAACAGTGCATCAATATTACAAAGCTCTACAGACCTTCCCTTGAGCTTCAATTTCCATACATAGTTACCAGTGTTGCAAAACTTAAAGGAAGAAACATTGAAAGTAATGAAATAATATCATAGTATGATTCATGTTAACTCAGCTATATAAGCTACAGTAAAAGCTTCTGCTTGTGCATTTAATCAACAACTTATGCAAAGCTCAATAAACATTCTGTTCACTGAAATTCATCATTATTGCATTTCTTTACCCTGATCAAATGGTAGGCTTGAGTTTTTCATTTGTTGGCGTATTTTTTATAATAATAGCTGGCCCGACAGATGTCGTCCTGTCCTAATGTGGTTTTATGTCGAATACTCGTTCATTTTCAAGATGAACTTGTTCGTATCGCTCAATTACGTCCTGGTGAAGTTCGTTTGCTACGCTCACTAACCTTTCGGTTGAAGCTCGTTCGCTGCGCTCACTCACTTTCAGGTTGAAGTTCTTAGGCTACGCTCACTCACTTTTTGGTTGAAAATTAACATTATTGTTGTGTGTTATTGTATCCCACAGGTTAATGAAAACATTTACCTCCAATGCTAATGTAAAGGAAAATTAAAAACAAATTAAAATAAAATTACTAAAAACGGTTGGATGGATTAAACATTTCCTTACATAAAAACCTTCCCCTGGCACTAAGGAACACAACAAAAAAAGAATCGTCCAATTCGGTGCACTTGGTCTCGAGCTATGAAATACCACCAAAAAAGGGATTCATTTTTATTTATATAGATAATCTAATTATAATCAGAACAGTTGGTATTGGAATCTTAATGTTATTTTAACCCAATGACAAGAGTTGTATTATACAGATTTATTTACCTATTCTGCGCTGAATTTGAGTAATTCAACCTCCTACAAAAGTAGGTAAATAAATCTGTATTGGAATCTTGTTTTATTACAATACAAGTACCTCAAATCATTAAACAAACAAAAACATTAATCTGTACCCAAAATGTTGTTTTGTTTTTTACAGCAAACACAATGTATGAACGGGCTCTCAGTATGTATAGTAGACTAGCTGTACCCGCGGGCTTTGCCCCGTTTAACTTCATAAGTATTCGCATGGCTCAATCACGTCCTGGTTGAAGTTCGTTCGCTACGCTCACTCACCTTTTGGTTGCAAATTAGCTGTTGTCATAAATAAAAAAAAAGTAATAGTGCTGCACCCTGTTGGTAATCCTTGTAACTTTAATGCTATTGAACATCATAGAACAGAACCAACTTGTTTAATTGAAACAGCTGTTAAGATTCATTAATTCCTTTTAAACATGAAAAATCATAAGGCTAACATGGGAAACTCCAGAGCCACTGGGACGGAGCACGAAAGCCCGATCAGAATAAAAACTACTTAGTTTTCCTATTTAATGCCCAAAGAATTGGTGTACCAAATTTCAGCCTCCTAGGTAAATGGGAAGTGGGAGATTTAGTGATGAGTGAGTGAGTCAGTGAGGGCTTTGCCTTTTATATATTTAGATACTGGTACCTAGTCACTTATTACTAGGTTGTGTGTTTTTTTACCTTGCACATCACTAAAAAATTCAATATTGGAAGCATCTTTTCCCCAAGTATTTTGAATCACAGGAACTCTCTCTTTGTGGAATTTAAGGCACGTTTTTACAGCAAAAAATATATCTTCATTAGGCACTGGCTCCCCCTAAAACAATATGAAATGTGTTACAGTAATCTATTAAGATATTAAAAATCCCAAATGTTTTGGGGCTATACTGCATTTACACAGCAGTTCACAATGTAAAAAACCCTGTTAATTGAAATAAAACATACCTAATTTTAGTATGTTTCTCAAAACTCATCTATATTGTGTAGTATGATTCTATATACTAAAACTTCAGTAAAACTCTTGCTTGATTCTTGATTCCACTGTCCAGTTTGAGTTGTATCATGTTTTTTGGTTTTACCATTAATTTATAATGAACGATGATTGAATATTATAATATCAACAAATGTTAACCATGATGGGTAGTTGTTGTTCCAAGTTGTTTTCTTTGTTCTCATGGACACAAACAATTACTTCATTTTATCCTAAAGCAAAATCATTACAATTGATTGAAAGCTTTAGAGGGAGTATGGTTGCTAAATAACACTTGGTATACGGAATAAATAAGTATAGATAGGTTCATTACCACACAAAAACACAGTACAGGAAATATAACAAAGCTATACACTAGATATTCTAAGCAACTATATTACTATAACATACTATAACTAACTATAAGCTCCTATATTACGAAGCCTGCGTTGTTACTACAAAATCGCTTTAATCACTCAAAATTATGTAGATTGTTCAGTTAGTAGGGTAATATGATACAAAGGTTAAACTATGGTCTACATTGAGCTCCTGTCGGGACCATGTTAGCTACCTCAAACCTGAAACCATTGTCATGTTTTTTACTTTATCCACGATTATTCTGATTTACAATATGTGACAATAAGACTTTTCATAGAAGCTAAAACGACATGAACAAAAATGTATAAAAATATACTCCCACTAACTACATAAAACTGTCTTTGACTGGCTTTTGGAAACCCAATTCCATTCTTTTCTACAATTTCAATAGCGGTCAATCATCCACAGAAACATAATAATACCCCCGCCGCAGCAAACCTGCAGACTAAGCGAATTTCCATTTGCCTGATTGGATTTACACTAAAATGTCTCCTTAAAAATATCACTCCCTATTTAAATAGCATTGGTTTAACGAGTACTTAGGTTTGCTGCAACAGGGAGAGTAAAAAGGTTTTTTTTTGTAAAATATTAATAGTTTAGTAATAAATGAATGCATTTTCCAAATTTTATCAAAATATGTTCATAAACAAGCAAACTACAACAGTTTATTTATTCTCCATAAGAATAACATAAGAATTTTAAATTTACAGTTTTTTGGAATTTTCTCCGTAACCATTAGGCGCATAATAACGCTTCAATATACTAAATTATTTGTTTTTTTTAAGCTCTACAAGTTGGTTAGGAAAGAAATTGCAAAATTTTGTGTTTTTAGGGTCAAAAATGGGAAAACCCAATTTTTACCCCATAAAACCCTGTTCCCATAGTCCGATTACGCTGATTCGCGAACTCGTTAAAATAAACTTAGGTTTACACGTTTGTACCAAACTTCATCAAAATCGGATCATTTTTGCTCGAGTTATCGCGCTAACAGACACATATATAAATATATATATATGAATTTGAACGGATGGTGTTTTTGGTCTCTAGGGACCTCAAAATGAAAAAGTAAATCGGTCCCGGGTCCAGGTCTTACCATGAGTACTATGGTAATAGCTTGTTCCCTATATGGGAAATTCGCTAAAAGTGTGTTTTTGAGTAAAATATTGATAGCTTAGTACAAAATTAATAAATTTGCCAAGTTTGATCAAAATATATCCATAAAAAAGCAAACTACAACATTTGACAATATTCTCCATAAGAATAACATGGGAATTTTAAATTTACAATTTTTTTAATTTTCTCCGTTACTAACAATCGAACAAAAATACTTTTATATACTAAATTATTTGTTTTTTTAAGCTCTTTAAAAAGATTTAAAGAGAAATCGGGAAATTTTGTGTTTTGAGGGTCAAAAGTGAGAAAAACCAATTTTTACCCCATAAAACCCCCCGTAAAGCCCCGTTCCCATGGTCCGATCGTGCTGGTTCGCGAACTCATTCAAGTTTATCCCGCTTTACACCTTTAAACCAAATTTCATCAAAATCGGACAAAAATTACTCAAGTTATCGCGTTCACGGACGTATATATATATATATATATATATATATATATATATAAGTCTATATATATATATATATATATATACATATATAAAAATTTGAACGAATGGTGTTTTTGGCCTCTGGGGACATCAAAATGAAAAAGTAAATCGGTCCCGGGTCTAGGTCTTATCGTGCCACCTACGATAATAGCTACTTCCCTATAGGGAAATTCGCTAAAAGAACGTGATTCATACTTTATGATAGCGTCAAGGTCAAGTTTACTTCTCAACATTTTCAACCACTATGACGAGACAAATCATCACATACGAGTGCAATCAGGCTAGGATATTAGTGGTTGAGAAAAAAAAAAACAAGGCACTGGTTTCAGATTTGAGCTAGCTCGCTTGGTGGAGCTCCATATAGACCTTAATCGACAGACAACCCTTGTCAATCAAAAATACAATTTTATCAAGTGTTGCCTTTTGATACCACAACAACACTATAATAGACTAGTGGTCGAAAACTCGACCAAAAATATGTAATGTAAAGACTTCTCTACTTTCACTTCACACTGTAAATAAAACATGTGATTGGAATGTCTTTCATTTGTCTAGTAGTTGTCAGCAGTTAGTTGTGTAGTAGTATTGTAGTTTTCTGTTTATATTTCGCTGTTATTTCGTCACCAGCATGGCAACCTATAAGGCCCATGTTATTTTTTTTATTCATATTTTGTGCTGATTTTTTAGCCTATTTTAAATTATAAAAGGTTTCTACACATCTACAGGAAATAGTATATTACGTTACTAGTCCTGAAAATCAGTGTTTACCGGACGAGTGTGGTCGTTCCCGTGCGAGACGAAGTCGAGTACGGGATTACTATACGAGTCCGGTACACACATTTTGGACGAGTTACGTACGATAGTTTACGCCATACTACTAAATCTGTACAAATCCTTATATATTTCCACCAACTAAAGGACTAAAAATCACTAGTCTTAATCTCTAAGAGAGGTTATGTTTTTGTTTATAATATTCATTCATTGTCACCTAAAGGGTTCTGTGCCTAAATACAGTATAATCAGCTGATTGGTGTCCGGCAAAACTCATTACAGTACAGTAGTACGCAATGAAACCCCATTTGAATAAGCTGGCGGCAAACAGCTGTTTTCTGGACTACATCCTTGCGTGGGAAGTTCGTCAAAATAATGTAGTGTGGCGTAAATATCTTTCTAACAGTATGCATAGATTTTCCCTGCGAGCTGAAAAAAGGTTTTAAAGAAACATGCTTGCCTATTAATATATATGTTTTACATAACAATAGATTTATAATTTAAAAGGTTTTTTATCAAAGTCTGTAACAAGTTTAGATTATTTCCCTCTTGCACTCATATAAAGTATACTTGCAAGAATTCTGACTGAGCAAATCACTTACACAAGAGAGGAAAGGTAGCGGGTATGAGGCACATCGTGTGTGGTTGTTCTCTAAACAGAACTCCGACGGCCAGCTCAGCATGGCTGTGCTGTTAACCATCTGTGCCAGCTCATACATCGCATCTATTGAGAACCCGGTCTTGGCATGTCTCGGAGTATAGTACAGTCTGGAATATTTACATTTCTAAACTCCACTATGCTACCAATGCTTGGTATGATAAACACTGAGAAAGAACATCTTGGCATGACTCTTAGTCCAGGAATCTAGTAAAACTCTGTGTTCTTACTTTTTTGGCAGATTTGATCAAATTTTAAATGCAAGGTTTCTTAAAATTATGGCTACAAATTTAGAACAATATAGCTGTAGAAAATGTTACACCTACACACAAATTATTGATGTGTATAATATATTATTGCTACGGTCAATATGTGTACATTGATTTGATGGAGGTGTTGTCTGTTCTTATAAACCCTTTTCAATTTAATGTTGGATTTATCATTGAGTTACTCGACCCAACACCAGTAATCCACTGGTTATCCAGTAATCCAATACTGAAGACAGACAAGGTATGTTAACCTTCAATTTATAATATGACAAGAATTTTTTAAAATATTATCATGTTCAGCAGCTAACTTTATAAAAGTTTAAGTGGTTTTTGAATGCAAGTAAAATAGTAAAGGGTTTTAAATACTGTAAACACTAATATTACATACTCTTATTAATAGGTCTAAAGAAGAGAATATCTTAAAATCACTAAAATCTTATGAACTTAAACATTGAAACTTTAATTTACTAGAAATCTCCTCAAACATTTCAAAACCTAAAAATGTGTCAGTCTTGTGCGCAGTTCATACGCAAGACTGTAAACTTGTATCTAGAACATAACATTTTGTATGCATATGGGACGGAAAAGACTTTGGTATAATAAAATGGAAATATTTACTTTTTGAGCAGAGCAGCAGACATGGCAAATCCAGCAGCCAACAGTGGATACTGCATAGGCTTGGGGGAGAACTGAAAGTGATGTACTATTGTAGGCTCTGCGTCTTGCAATCCATGACCGAGCCACATCTCCTGCAAAAATATTACAACTGATCATTATGGATGGAAGAGACATCAAGGACAAAGTGGAACTTAAAAAAAAAAATGAAGAGTAACTTTAGATATAAATCAAATAAAAAAATGCAATAGCTTAAAATTACAAAAATAAAGTAGACTATCTAGTTAGGCCAGGGATGAAGTAGTATTTGAATAATTAGTTAAACAGGGTGGTAAAAAGTCCCTGGACAGTTAAATATTTTTAAAAATAATGAAGATAGAGCTACAATACTTGGTACAAAGTTACAGGGCATAAAACTCTATTTTAACACATATTCAGTGATCCAATAACTCTTCAGGGGGACGGCCCACAAGGAGTCGGAAGAAAATCTTAAATGGAAGCATAGGTCAATATGCACATCAAATTAAAGGTCTTTTTTAGTAGAATACAATGCCGCAAACCGCACTTCAAAAAGTTGATCCTGCGCAAAATGACAGTTGTTCAAAGATTCATTTAATTAACATTGCTATTATACGCTTTCTCCTCAGGGGGCACAGCCCTAGGAATCGGAAGAAAATTGTTAACGTAAAAATAGGTCGATATGCACATCAAATTAAAGGTCTTCACTTGTAGATTACGATGCCGTAAATTCAAGCTCAAAAAAATGCCTGAGTAAAAAATGGCAGTCGTTCAAAGATTCAAAATGGCGGATTCAAGAAATCTTTGAACATCTGCCATTTTGCGCTGGATCAACCTTTTGAAGTGCGGTTTGCGGCATTGTATTCTACTAAAAAAGACCTTTAATTTGATGTGCATATTGACCTATGCTTCCATTTAAGATTTTCTTCCGACTCCTTGTGGGCCGTCCCCCTGAAGAGTTATTGGATCACTGAATATGTGTTAAAATAGAGTTTTATGCCCTGTAACTTTGTACCAAGTATTGTAGCTCTATCTTCATTATTTTTTAAAATATTTAACTGTCCAGGGACTTTTTTACCACCCTGTATACTGTTAAGAAATAGATGGTATTATACTAGGGATTGACAAGTTCCAACATTTCAGGAAAAAAATATTCCTGATATTCGGGTAGGTTTAAGTTAACTTTAATTTTGGATTTTCTGGGGACAAAGTTTTTCTTAAATGTCACTAATTTTGTCACAACCGAGGGGGACAATGATGATGTCTCTGTGATCACAGGAGATCACACTACCTCATCTCAGCTGTCAAGATGTGCAGGATGCCATCAAACATTTAAAATTAAATACACTACTGGTTAAGATCTGATTTCACAAAGCAAAAAATACAAACGTTATTATAGTAGATATACCAAAGAGATATGATTTGGCATATTGGTCTTGTGTAAATAAGGAAGAAACAAGAACAAATAAGCGTCTCATGGAACTAAGTGAAAACTATTGTAATGTCTCGGTGATCAAAGCAAGCGAAGCTGACAGACGTTTGTACACCCAACACGGGTAACACCTCAACCAGGATGGCAAGAGATGGCTATGTAATCTAATAGCTGAAAAAATGGCTTCATCACTGTCTGGTCCAAGAGGATGCCTGCAGTTAGTGGAAGAGCAACCGCCTCCTCCAGGAACTGAGTCTCTGTCGGAAAACTCGACCCGTCTGAAACAACCCAATCAAGTCCATCACCATCTACGAGCGCAGATGAACGCATAGATATTTGTCGGTCAGAATCACTAGATGTGTCAAGTAAGCCTAGTTTTAATAATCCTTCTATTGTAAATAAAAATGAGGATGTTATAGTGTTTAATGTAGCTCACTGGAACGTGCAAGGCCTCACAGGCATTGGTAAAGTTGATGAAATAATAAGCTTAGATGACAGTTTTGATTTAAGTGCCCTCTGTATTTGTGAACATTGGGTTGGAAGTCACAATCATTTATCAGATATGACTATCCCTGGATTTGTATTAAAAAGTGCTTATGTAAGACAATCAGAGGAGAGGGGTGGCACAGCAATATTTGTCAAATCACACTTTAAGTATGAAGAACTAACCTTTCTCGTGGATTTATCAATCAAAAATGTCTGTGAGGTTGCCGCAGTTTTATTAAAGATGTTAATGTTATATTTTTAGAAATTTATAGAGTACCTGATAACAAAAAAATTGAACTTTTTATAGAATGTATGTATAATGTATTTAATCTTTTAAGTGGTAGAAATAAGACTAATGTCTCAATAATTTTATGCTCTGACTACAATGTTAATACTTTGTTGGGTAGTGTCAAAAAATATGTTGTCGAGAATTTATTGTTAAGTTTCAATTAAAAAAATACAATATTTGAGGTCACTAGTACTTGTGGTGGTAAGGATGGCACATATTGGCAGCAGCTGTTTTGGCTGCTGTGTATTTTGCACATATACAAAGCCACCTGTCATATGGTATAGGTAGTGTCATGGGGTTATGACAGTAATACAATAAAATTATTGCGGCTTCAGAAGAGAGCCTTAAGAATCATGTTCAGTGTTAATCGTAGGACCCATTGCAAACCACTTTTTAAGAAACTTAAAGTAATGACTGTTCCCTCTTTGTTTATATTGGATTGCTTAATGTACATTAGAACTAATTTAGAGCAGTTTCAAACTAATAGCTCTGTTCATAACTACTTTACTAGGCAAAACAATTATTTAAGAACTGACCAATGTAACTATCAAAGGACAATTAATTCAACTTTTGAGCTGGGTAAAAGAATGTACAATAAATTACCGAACCATGTAAAGCAGCTAGATTTAATTAGATATGAGTCTTATTTGAAGCGACTCCTCCTAGAATTAAGTGTATATAGTGTTGAAGAATTTGTTAAATATTTAGATGTTTATTTGTGTCATAGCTAGTTGTATTGTTTCTTTTAGAAATGTAATGACGATGCACCAGTTTGATGTTACCTGCTGTAACCCATAAATGTTATGTGCAAATAAATACTTTGACTTTGACACAATATTTATTCAAAGGCTGTTCCAAGCTCTTAGTTAGGCCTCTAGAATAATTAATCATACAATTTATGTTCACAATCTATTTAAGATTAATTTTAAATTATAGACTTGTATTAGTGTTGTCTGTACCAAAAAAAGAATTGAGATTATTATACACAAATATTTATTAAGATACCTCTAAAATTACAATTTAATCAACCAACATGAGTCCAGCCCGGGAAGCAAGTCAACACAAATTTACTAAATTTTACTAATTAAATATCCTTGGGTCTGGACTTGGGAGCTCAGTTAAACACATCATTTCTTGATTTGGCTAAAGCTAATTTGTCCAAGAAGCTTAAACAGTTTAAATGGGTTATTGTATTTAAAAAGTCTTACATATTGAATAAAAAATTTTTTTTTAAATCTTGGACTTTCCTCTGCTATATTTAAAGTGCGGTACAATCAGGAATAACACAGAGATACAATTTTTAGGGGTATTCCTTTTTACAATATCTACTAAAGGTGGGTTTTCCTAGTTGCGGGGTATATGCCACAGCGGGGTGCGGCGTTCAATGACTTTTTAGACCGCACCACAGGCAAAGATGGGCTAGTGTTTTCCTAGACTTTGCGGGGTACAGACTCAAGTTTCAACAACACAAGCTCCTCGCTATCCTGTTGCGTACTGTGACATAGACTCCTCTAGAATGAGTCAGCGCGTCCCGCAGTCTGAACCCCACGGGCAGGGTGCGGCGTTCGATTCTTAGGAAAACACTCTTACGTATCACTGTGTATTGTGTGCTCTGCGGACTCCGCAGGTTCAACACCGCACCCCGCAGCTAGGAAAACCCGCCTTAATTAAAGAAACTGTAAAAGTATTTTTAATTGACATTCACTTCTATTTGCCTACGATTTAACCATTTTTAAACATATCAGCAGTTTAGATTATGCAAATAGTTTACAGAAAGATATTGATAATGTATATGGATGGAGCGTAGCAAACAAAATTACTTTTAATGTTTATAAGTGTCCACTCATGACTTTTACCAAAGCTCAATTCTTTTATATACAAGATTACTTTTTTATGGGAATTTAATTAGTACTGTAGAGTAAACAGAATCAAAGATTCAAGTGTTCACATGAATTCAGCACTACCTTTTATCTTTCATATTGAAACATGCAATGCTGTTGCTAGTAAAATGATGGAGTTTATTTTTGAAATAAGTACAAATTTGAGAAAAATTGAAACTTTAATATGCTTTATCATTTGCTGGTCAGATTCAAATTAAAAACTTGCTGGGTAGTTTGGAAACCATATTATTTAATGTCAGCTTAAAACGTCCAATGGACCTAATACGTTTCATTGGACTACACTTTGTTGGTGCCAGCCAGATTATAGCACAACTACTATATGCTGAAACCTAGGGCGCAAGAATACAACAAATGTAGGACTAGATGACTCAAGGTAACTATACTTTCTTCACAATATTTAGGCGGTTTTAGGGGAAGAAATATATCCCCTTCACTTGACCCTTACCTTTAAATTAATAGCTCAACAGCTGATTAAGCAACATACATTAAATACAAAAAAGTGGTGGGGGGACTTGCCCTCAAACCGCCTAAATATTGTGATCAAAGTCTAAACCATATTAGTGTCTTAACCAGCTTAGGAAAATCATCCACATCTCACAATATTAAAAATAAAAATCAAATCAAACTACGCTCTACAATTTCACTTGAGATCAATTTCCCTACAAAATTACCAGCAAGATAAACCAGCTTATAGACAATGTCTGTTAAAAATATAAAATAAACACAAAATGTGTTTACTTTTATATGCAATCTTTTTCAGTTGGGTGAAAACATTTATCTATCTATATACTATTAGACTATAAAGAAGAAGTGGTGTCTGTCTGTGTGTCTGCGTGTTACTACTGACTAACTACTGAACCAATTTTCTCAAGTTGGACAAAAATAAAGCTACAGCTCCGAGGATACATATAGAAATATTCCCCCTTCAATATTGACCTAAGGCACTGCCCCATGGGCTTTCAAAAAATCTGAGGTGAGAGATTTGAAAGTAAAAAAATATTGATTGAT